ATTTACGTAATATTTCCGGGGGATTTTTCATTTTTTATGTGTGTGCGTGGTCCGGAATGATGATATACGAGATAGAGTTGGAGTAGCACCAATTGAGGAGAAGCTTGTCCAACATCGTTTGAGATGGTTTGGGCATATTCAGCGCAGGCCTCCAGAAGTTTCAGTGCATAGCGGACGGCTAAAGCGTGCGGAGAATGTCAAGAGAGGGCGGGGTCGACCGATTTTGACATGGGAGGAGTTCGTTAAGAGAGACCTGAAGGATTGGAATATCGACAAAGAGCTAGCTATGGACAGGGGTGCGTGGAAGCTTGCTATCCATGTGCCAGAGCCATGAGTTGGTTGCGAGATCTTATGGGTTTCACCTCTAGCCTACCCCAACTTGCTTGGGACTAAAGGCTTTGTTGTTGTTGTTGTTGTTGTTGATGATGATGATGTGTGTGCGTGGGGGGAGAGAAGAAAAGGCAGAGCGGGGCGGGGCGCACTCGAGTTGGAGTGTAGTGGTGGCTGGATTCCAACGTCTTCTGTCTCTGTCTTTGACCTCGACCGCGGTCAGTTGCGTTGCGCTCACTCCTCTCTCCCCCCGGACTGCTTTCTCCGTGGAGGACTCGCGAGGAGTGCACTCATCTCATCTGGCGCCGGGGATCGACGGCGGTGGAGCGGAATGATGGCGGGTTTCTTGGTGGAGACCCCCATTTTTTTTTCTTGTCCTTGTCGCGTTGGCCACCTTTCCACCACCGTGATGTGATCATTGGCCTCCGGGCCAGGGCAAGTGCGCGCGCGTCCCCGTCGCGGCGCCCGCGGTCTTGCCATCCCGGCGACTTCTCTCCTCCCCTTGCGGCGGTGGGAGCTTCGGAAGCGTCGCTTTTTCCCCCTTCTTGGTGGTGGGAGAGAGGGAGATATCAGATACCTGGACCAGTGGCGGGCTTCCAAGTCCAGCATCCAACTGACATTATCTTCTTCCTCCTAAACCCTCATCTTTATAAGGTCAAACAAAAAATTCCCCTTTGTCCAAATGGATTTTAGGGCGCGTCGCCATCCCCATCCTCTCTCTGATTACCCGGCCAATCGCCATGCTCAGGTCAGGCTGATCTCCTATTCTTAATTTGAGATCAGTCAAGGTGTCTGTCCCCCTGGGGTTCAGCGGCACGACGTGCATTTCTTGTTTCCATTGGATGGAAACTGCTTCTCACTGGCTGAGGGGGACAGTTGTGCCGGCGTGATTGGATCATCGGAACTCGCTGGATCGGTGCGGGCTCTCCGCTCGACAAGGACCGCCATGCGCCCACCAGGTGTTCGACCGAATGCCTACGAGACTTTTGGCGGTGGCTATGCACACTATGGGTGTGCTAGCCTACACTTCTGTGTTCCCCTGCCCATTTTGTCTGCCAACTAGCCCATTCTTCGGGTGGGGGTGTAGCCTTTATGTCACCAGTAGAATGTTTTCAAGAACTTAATTCAGATCCTCAAGAGGGAAAAAATATACTAAATCCTAATAAGGGCTTGGTTAACGGATGCCTCACCAACTTAACTTTTAGATTAACAGGGATTTATTTACCTGAGCTTAAGTGCTCTAAGGCTTTATAAGCTGGATCCCTTTACACTTGCATCTTCATCGTAACGCGTAAAGGTAACCGGCTCCACTTGGTCTTCCTTAATTATCTGATCCTGGAAAGCCCTAAAGGTAGCCCAATTTGTTGGTGACAGCAGAAACGATCATCGTCTAGATTTTCCTACGATGCTGCTTGCGAGGTAGTGCGTGCTTGTTAACTTGTTATCTGGGAATTCAACAACCTATTCAGCTTCCTAGTTGTCTAGTGTTAGTTCTAAGGGCACTGTATTTTTCTATGCTACTGATTGCAACCTACATGCTACAGTCGCCTCATGCATGCTTTGATCATTGTCTTCCTTTTCTGCGTCTTGATTTCTTGTGTTTGCGCGTGATCGTTCTCATTGCATGATGGCAAAAGCTAACCGTGCAGTTGCAGTGTTTCATTGTGTGAATGAGTTTACCTTGTGAAGGGCACCCATATAATGAAAAACCCTCCAAATTCGGTTAAATTTTAGCTCATGTTACATTGTCAAGACAATAGTCAAGTGATTGATTGCAAAGTAGTTGAAGTCTGTGCTTAACATCTTCTGACAAGCTAAGCTCAGCTATCTTCTGAACTCCATTTCAAGAATAATCACTTTGGTGAAATCTAAATGAACTCTAGAAACTCTTGCAAATAAAAAAGATTTGTATCTAATTCTCATGTTGCTCTGCACCTCTGTAAAATTCTATAGGATTTTGCCATCCCTATATGATATACATAACTTGGTTTTAGTGCTGCATGTAGTAATAAAACATATTTTCTCTAATTTGTTCAAAAGTTCCATAACCATTTAGTGTCTAGTTACTTTTAAGTACTTTTTGAAAGAAAAGCAGCTCAACTTCTTTCCCTTTTTACTCAAAATGGTTTGCTTTCAACATATAGAAGAACTCGTAATATTCTCAGTCAATTTTCCTCTCTGATTGTGTGCATAGATTTTAATATATCTGGCATAAGGCTTTCAGAGTTAAAATCTAGCATTTATAGGAAACCAAATGTTGCCAAGGATATCCTCAACTTTACCACACACAAAAAAAATCCTCCGTGCATATCCATTCTTTGTACTATACAAAATGCATCTTGCAACATCGTCCTTTAGGCCAGTTGATAAGCCTGACTTTGGAAACTAGACGGCTTTGGTAGCTATCTATCTGTGCTGGCACATCGACAGATCCAAAGCAGTTCAATTGAACAGCTTAGGATGTATGGACTTCTCAGCATTTCCTAGGAAAACCTGGTTGTTCGGGCGCTTCCAGATATTCCAGGTGATCGCTGTAGCTGCTGTGTGGCACCTGACAGAAGTTGGGGAAATCTGTTTGAGAAAGTTCCCTTACTTTGCTTGCCTGATGAAGGTTCAGGAGTTCATGAAGGTAAACCCTAGTATGCAACAGGCCATGCGGCCGACTACATAACAAGGAGATGTACTTTAGTCATTATCAATTCATTCTCTGAGTAGTAGTAGCTCTCTTGTTCTGATTTGTTCCCTCACCAGAAACCAGAGGAAGATTACTATTTAGCCGGCCATAACTGCAACAAATGTGCAAAGCTTAAACTGGTAGTACGCTGTGCAGCCAATTATTGAGGCAGCCCGGTGCACGTAGCTCCCGCTTGCGCAGGGCATGGGTCCGACAACTTTGGGTACGCAGCCTTTCCCTACATTTTTTGCAAGAGGCTGTTTCCAAGACTTGAACCCATAACCTCATGGTCACAAGGCAGCGAATTATTGAGGGGAGTCATAAAATGAGCATTAAACACTATTGTGTCGACAATCATTTGACTTGCCAAATGTCAGGCAACCACTGGCATGGCTGCAAATCCAGTCCATGTGTAGACCATTCCTTAGGTTGCTGTAACTAATGATGTAAATTTACATATGTCACTGCACTTTAAAGATGGAAGATTGACGGTCGGTGAAGCATGCTGGATTTTTTTTCCCGAAGTGGAGAAATACGATGAATTCTCACGTCAAGGGGTGTGTTTGGTAAGCTTCATAATGATAGATATGACAGGTTTACTTGCCGGCAATGATGTTCACTATTTTCCTTCTGGGCATGCTCTTATCTTTGAATCACTGAAGAGTGCACTTATGTCTACATCTACATGGTTGCGGTTCGAGATATCTGCCATACTTCCTGTTCTGCTAAAACTGTACTACGCTACTGGACAGGTTCTTGTTCTCTCCTTTTGTAATATCAGCTTCCTTGTTCTTGCAGGACCAATAACAGCTTATACAAGGATATCTCCATCTTCCCCGTAAACAGCCTGTCCATCAACAGTTAAAAAGCTGCATATCATCGAACAAGGTTGGCCCTACAAGCGTGCTCGCTGACTGTATGCAAATTGCAATACATACTCCAGAAAATAAAATTACCACTTGTGTGCATTCTAGATCTAACACAGCCTTCTTTTTACCAGTTTAAATCATATGAGATATACTAGTTGCTTAAGAACAAGTGGTTGAATGTACATAAAGTGGAGCGTGAGGGGTGAAAACTTATTTAATTAGGCATGGTCCATACAGATTAAGAGTTAATTAGTTTTTTCTGGAAGAGTGAGTGCTCAGTATTATCATTGTTCAGCGAATGCATTATGCTTGCACGCAGTCCTTAAGTGGAAACATGTGCAGTAAACTCCAATACATAGCTACACTATGTTTATCATTTTTCGGCAAAATTTTTATGATCTTTTTAGATTTTGCTATAGAAGGTTGCAGGAGCTAGAAAAGGTTTCTGGTTTTTCCTCGGCAAAGCAACTGCTAGTTATTATAGACTTTCTTCAAACACTTTACAAGTTCTCACAGACTCAAAGTACTTTGCTTTGTCTTGTCATTAAACTAGATCTTGAAAGCCTAATGATTTGAGCACACATGTTACCTTCATAACTCCAGGCACTTGCCTATTTGGTTGAACCCTAGAACTTAGATCTTAACCTTTTGGCACTTATTTAAGCTGATCCCTTGATGTTAGCCTTTGGAGAATCCCAAAAGCTACAGCATGTTAAATATGTCTGTAGCTCATAGCTGTCTCGTTGCCTCTTCTGTCTAGGAAATAACAAAACACTAGCACAGATGATTAGAACACGAGGGCGAGAGGGTTAGGTTGGAGTTAACAAACTTTAGGTCTGTTATCCTGTACTCTCTTCAGCAGGTAGACCCTGTACTTAACTCGATAGGCCTAATCATCTCACCCGCCATCTATGGACTAGATCACTAGATGAACAAGGCAAGTTGGAATGATGCAGCCATGGAGGGATGTCCTGGCCATTGTAGATTCACAAAGCTTGTCTTCCAAGCACCCTAAGGCATGGCACGGACGCTTTCCCCCGCAGAATCATATCTTGTGTCCTTTTGTCTGTCTATGGCGTCTATATATATCTCCCTGCCACTCCACCAGTGCCATTGTGTAAAGGGCAATGGCTGCTTTTCTGCTTCTGCTCGTTGTTTCCTCCCTCTCATTTGCTGCCATTGATCCTGTTCAGTGCACCACAGCTTCTCATTCACATGTAGTGGTTTTTGTGCAGGTTTTCTTTCATCTTTTTATCTGTTTGTCAGATCAGATGTTCACCTCATGTCTGCTCTCTCTTCTGTTGCATCGCAGGTTCACATTGTGTACTTGGGCCACAACAACGATCTTAGTCCTTCTCTGACCACACGGTTTCATCTCCAACTTCTGTCAACTGTCTTTGCAGAGTAATATACTATCTTACTTTTGAGCTAAAATTAAAGGGGACAATAAAAGACCATTGAATTTCTAGAAGTTGATAAAAAAAACAATGAAGTGCAGAAGCACAGCACCATCCAATGCATCTATAACATGAATTCAGCTGAGTTATTTCAAGTAGTACTACGACTATCGGGTAAACCACATAAAGTTAAAATACTGGAGTTAAAATTTAGGTAATTTTTTCGTTTGTACTACTTATGCCATAGTAGAAACTTCTATTAATTCCGTTTCTCAGTTTATCCAATCTGTATTGCATGCTTTACTTGAAGCAATCCAACCATTTTGTCTCTTAAAGATAAAACCTCGCATCTCAGAGAATTTGGAGATGTTTGTTCTCATTTGGCAAGAAAAATGTGGCTAAAAGGATACATGAATGGTCACAATATTGCAGGCCGGAGGAAGCAAGACAAGCTATTCTCTACAGCTACAGCTATGGTTTCTCTGGTTTTGCGGCAGTGCTCAATTCAACGCAAGCCACCACATTGTCGGGTAACAGTTATACTCAACACTATGGTCCCTGTTGTCCAAAATATACCTATATCTGTATATACCTAGTTTTGTGCACTTGATTATTGCCATAAACTGACAAGGAACCCCATGATCGTTATATTCAGAAACAGAAGCGGTCATATCAGTATTCAGGAGCAGGATGCTGCAGCTCCATACAACAAGGAGCTGGGATTTCATGGGCCTCAGCCTGCATTCGCATATGGAGCAACCATCCTCCCAAATGCATTTGAAGTACGGAGACGACGTAATTGTCGGTATCCTCGACACCGGTACTTGTCCTCTAACTATTTCACATCCCTGCAAACCCTGCTGCACTGTCCTATACTTGCTTGTAGCTTCTCTGGCTTCACACATGACATGATCTTGTAGCCTGAAAGGGACATATAGCTACAAAATTATCTAAAACACACAGGCATGGCACTGCAAGAGAAATGACATGAACAACCATGAAAGTAAAAGATACTACAATCATTCCTTGAATGCAGGCATGCGATGCCAAGATCTGAACTTAACAATTTTGTAGCGGCACTGCACTCATACTCATTCCTGTTAGTGGTTACAGTGCTGTGGTCCTCAGCATTTCAGTGTGTGTCTGCCCCTGCCCTCAACAGGTGTGTGGCCTGAATCCGAGAGCTTCAGAGATGACCCCCACCTAGGCCCCGTGCCGTCGTCATGGCGCGGCACGTGCGTCGGAGGCCAGCAGTTCGACCCGGCCACCGCGTGCAACCGCAAGCTCATTGGTGCGCGCTACTACCTCGCCGGCTTCGAGGCGGAGACCGGCCCGCTGAACACCAGCGGCGGCGCGGAGTACCGGTCGGCCCGGGACCGCGTGGGCCACGGCACGCACACGGCGTCCACGGCCGTGGGCGCCGTGTCCCCCAACGCGAGCTACTTCGGTGGGCTGGGCCGCGGCGCGGCACGCGGGGGCGCCCCCAGGGCGCGGCTGGCGGTGTACAAGGTGTGCTGGTTCAAGGACCTGACGGGCCGGTGCAACGACGCCGACATCCTGGCGGCGTTCGACGACGCGCTGCACGACGGCGTGCACGTCATCTCGGCGTCCCTCGGGTCGCCGCCGCCGCTGTCGCCGCTGTTCGCGACGAGCACCGAGGTCGGGTCGTTCCACGCCATGCAGCTCGGGGTGTCCACGGTGTTCTCGGCGGGCAACGACGGGCCCGACGCGGCCATGGTGCAGAACGTGTCGCCGTGGGGTGTCACCGTCGCCGCCAGCACCATCGACCGGAGGTTCCCGACGGTGATCGCGCTCGGGAGCAATGCCTCCTTCGTGGTGAGTTCTTGGTCCTACTAGTGGCCGACTATGCATGCATTTGTGGACTGTGGTGCATGCAAGAAACTTTGGATACAGTGCACTTCTCATTTTTCTTTGGTAATTTACACAGGGAGAGGGCTTCATTGTGAAGGACATGAAAATGCCTTTAGTAGAGAGCACTAGCGTCTTTGCCGATGGGTAATCTCTCTCACACATAATGCCTACCGAGTATCTATTTGTTTTGACTGACCGATTTGCGTTGATCCCGAAGGACGTGCTCCCTGGACCAGCTGGTGAACCGCACGGCGGCGTCTGGGAAGATCGTCTTGTGCTTCTCCACGATGGGGATGGTGTCCGGCGAGGGCGCGGCGCTGGCGGTGTACGCGGGCGGCGGCTCCGGCGTGATCTTCGCTGATTCCAGCTCCCGGCGGTCCAACCAGGACAACTTCCTGCCCACCGTCCACGTCAACCTGCGCCAGGGCACCCAGATCCTCAACTACATCCAGAGCCGTTCAAGGTAACCAATCAACCACCTACCGCCATCGGATCTGAGCCGTCCAATGGCGCACGCACGGCTGAGATCACGCGCTCTTCTCTGACCGCGCATCCATCGTCTGCCACGTGCAGGCCACGGCCGACCGTGCACATCTCGCCGAGCAGGACCGTCGTCGGCAAGACGCCGGCGCCGGCCATCGCCTACTTCTCCTCCAGAGGGCCCAGCTCCATTTCTCCAAACATTCTCAAGGTAGACGACACGATCACCTGAGCTTGGCATGGTGAAGAGCACATATGTATGGACTGAACCGATCTGTTGCTGAGCTCGCAGCCTGACGTCACCGCACCCGGGGTGAACATCCTGGCGGCGTGGCCGCCCAAGTCGTCGCCGACGATGCTCCCTCTGGACAAGCGCTCCACGGAGTGGAACTTCGACACGGGCACGTCCATGTCGTGCCCCCACGTCACCGGCATCGTCGCCATCCTCAGGTCCGTGCACCCGACCTGGTCACCGGCCGCAGTCAAGTCCGCCCTCATGACCACGGCGTACGTGCATGACGACACGTCGGACGCCATGCTGGCCGGTGGCACGCAGAAGGCCGCGGACGCCTTCGACACCGGCGCGGGGCACGTGGACCCGCTGCGGGCGCTGGACCCGGGGCTGGTGTACGACGCGGACGCGCGCGACCACGTGCGCTTCCTCTGCGGCCTCGGCTACACGGAGGCCCAGGTGCGGCAGATGGTGCTCTCCTCCCCGGCGCTCGACACCAGCTGCGCCGGCGGCGCCATTGGCGACGCCGACCTCAACTACCCGGCCATCGTGCTCCCCGAGCTGCGGGCTGCGGCGACCGTGAAGCGGACGGTGACGAACGTGGGCCTCCAGAGGGAAACCGTGTACCACGCTACCGTCATCAGTCCGCAGGGCGCGCACGTCGAGGTGTGGCCGCCGGCGCTGGCGTTCTCCTCGCGCTGCGCCAGGGCCGAGTACTACGTCACCGTCACGCCGGCGAAGCTCTCGCGCGGTCGGTACGACTTCGGCGAGATCGTGTGGTCCGACGGCTACCACCGCGTCCGCACGCCGCTGGTCGTCAGGGTCACCAACCTGCCGGACGCCGGCGTCGGCGCTCAGCCCACGAATCAGCACCGTGATACTACTGAGTACTGACCCACAAGCTACCTAGTTACGGTTATCTACAACCTGGCGGTGCACGGCTTCCGGGCTTCAGATCAGGGCTTCCTTAGTGTGGATTTGTGCAATGTTTTCGATTTCACTCGTTGGGACAACACAGTAGGTGTCATTCGGTCATGTTAAAGGAGCATACATTGTGGGTGCGACAAATTTCAAAGTGATACCAAGCAGCACATGCAGGCTCAACGTTTGATGATTCATTTCACCTTCAACTCTGGGAACATTTGAGACGCCTTCTCCTGACCAGCTGGGCGATGCTGGGCAGTGGAACAGAACCAGTTGCATTTGCAGTCATCTCTTCAGACCACTGGGTGGAAACACGGGAGTACAATACTTGAAAGCTATAAATAGCTCATGTGAAGTGAAATCTATAAATGGCTTTTGGTTATACCTCCACCTCTAAGATGCACCACATCTTCCTGGCTCACCATGAAATCCGTTCCAGCTATATGTCGGCACTTTCTACTCCACTCACAAGTACATGCACGGCGACCACACCCCCAGTGCCCTCGGGACCAATGTAGTTAACCGGGTATCACTCTAGTCCATATACAACCATTGGAGGAACCGCACATCTTGATGAAAGACAGCCAAATATAGGAGGGAACATCGTTCTATATAAGGCCTCATTTGGTTGTTGGGGAGAAAAAATCCAGGGAAATAGGCCCCTAGGAGAGATCTTCCTGTGCATACGAAATCCTCCCACCACGGAGGGAAATGTTCCCACTACCCCATGTGCCCAAATGGCAACAAGGGTGGGAAGGAAACCCCTCAAATACAGCATACAGATATAACACAACAGATCAAAGATGATAAAGAAAAGATCAAAGATAAAAATTTCACAAATAATTTTTCAAAAACAATAGACGCATACAAAAAACTTCAGAATTCATGTAAACTATAATTTCATCAAAAAAAATACAACTGATATCCATCACCTCACCAAGGTTCAAATATCCATCGCTTTGCATTTCATTGCAATCAAGCGTTGACCTAAACCGTTTTTCGTGTGCCAACATAAAAGCAATCAATACAATTGGCATTGATGCACCATTATTTAAGTTTGTTCACTACAGAAGGTTCTGAATTATCACATGTCCAAGGCATACACACTTTCGAATAGGATTGAGTTGCAAGGTGAAAATCACTAGTCCTATTCAGGTCTTTTCGCCACTCCGCATCGACATCAAGTACCACAACTCGATGTTCGTTGAACTACAAAAAAAAAGTAAGAAAGTTAGCACCATGTATCCAACTGAGAATTGTAACAATTACATGAACACATGATGACTATAGCTTAGATTTTTAATAACAATCAGCAGAACTTGTTGAGAAAAAAGATAAGAGCCAAAATACTAACTTCTGTTTCAGGTTAGTGTCGTACATTTCAGTAATAATTACTAAATAACTTAAGACGGGAGAATGGAAGATGATAAGCAATATATCTTTATTGTGAAGCTTCCCGCCAATATATAATTCCAAAATTAGTAAAAATGGGGACAAAAAATGTATAATGGGAAAAGTAAGGACAAAACAAACATGGATTTTTTAGTGCGGAGAAGTAAAGGCCTCTATCTATAAAAGGACGTAAAGCAGCCAAACAAACAATTGACAAACAATGTATTCTCCAGCAGTGTCGTAAGTGTAAATGAATGCATAGCAGAACTTCTGTAACAAATATAAAAAATTGTTATTGTTCTTCAGAAGAAGACCCTATCCAACAGTAAGCATCACTTCTAAAAATAGTGTACTAAGGAAGATTCAAACCTGGAGCTAGCACAAGCACGATGTAAGTACCAAATTACTAATAGATATATGGCACGTGCCCACACTCCACTGCTGTTACAAGTTACTTCCCTGATGAGTGAATCTGTAACTAGCTAGTTGATACTTGGCAGTACTTTCTCTTGCTTAAGCAAGACCCTGCAGTTATTTGCAAGAAAGGAAAATTAACATCGGTGTAAAACTTTTGCTGTTACTAATTGGCACTTGGCAAGCTGGCAGTACTATATCCATGCGTTGTGTTTCTTGCTTAATCAAGGTCTATGAGTCAATGCCGTCTAACTAGACAGCCAGAAGGAATAATATCACCAACCAGGCAACCACATCTCTTGCTGACTAGTCAATCAATTTATACCAACAGATAAATTTAAGCTTCTTCACATCACATCTTATGATTGTGTGACAAACTAAGAAGGCATCCAGGGATGACTTTCACATACCTTTCTTCATTAGGTGAAATCTTTTCAATGACCAAAGAACCAAAAGGCACTTAGCCACTGAACACAACGCCGCCGCCACCGCCTAGCGTTTTCGGATAAAGCAAATCATTTGCTAATGTCAGAGGCTCAGAGCACCTGCATTTGGCACACAATCGAATACTTGTCAGTTCAGGACACAAAAGTTTGCGTGAAAATGCACGAAAACAGACTGTAGGAAAGGCAACACACATCTGCACCACGGAAACACAAAAACAACACCTAGCCAGCCTCTGGAATAAGAAAACGCAAGACGTGTGTTAGTGTTGTGATGAATATATGATCCGAGAAAAATATGAGCCAACATGTACCGGAATGCAAATTATAGGCAATTATATACGGATCATTATATGAATTTAGTCTTTCTAAAATGCTACTAGTTGCGGAGCTCTTTGTGTGCATGTAAGTGAAATGCATGATTATAGTGTATTAATTATGATACAACCATGCATTATGATACTATCTGATAATTGTCCATACCATCATGCTCCTAATGAATTGATCTTACACTAGGTCTCCAATATTTTTGCCTACTAGTCTATTAACTGTGATTTGATTAGATGTCAACTGCTGCTGAACCGATCAACGGTTGCTCCAATCATCTCTGAAATAAGTACACTCTGACATTGGCACCGCTTGTGCATTGGTGCCCTTGTATGAATTAGTTGCCTTGATTAGTATAGTAATTTACTCCGACTTACGATTTTCCCCTTTCAGAAAGGAACAACACAGGAATAAATGAGATGGATTCTTACTAACCAATGAAGTAAATTTTGTCTACGCCATGTGAAATTATTTAGAAGAGAAGGCTCGGGTTCTTGGATCTGGACCAGCAAGTTCTGGCATCAGTTTCCCTAAAAAAAGTTCAGCCATCAGTGCATGGACGGTGAGTGGATGGACGGGAGAAAAAAAATGAGGTGGAAGAGGAGGGGGGCTAACCTTGGTCAAAGTAGGTGGAAATTGACCGCGGAACCGCCGCCGTTGCCGTCACCGGACGGGACAGGAACTTCGAGGAGGAGGGGAGATCTGGGGAAGGAGGAGCGCGACGACCACGGACGTTGCGGTCGCTGGTGGACGGAGCATGGAGGCGGTGCACCGGAGGGAGGGGGCGGTCCGTCTCTCCGGTCGCTGCCGGGGAAACTCGGAGGAGGAGGACTGGATCTTGGCCGTCGCCGGCTCGCCGCCTTTCGGTCGCTGCGCTCTCGGTCTCGCTCGAGCCGTGGCTTCTCTCCCCGACCCCTAGAGGCGTGGAACGTTTCCCCGGGGAAACGACGCGGGTAGGGCAGGGATGCCCCCCCAACGAATCCGTCCAAACGTCGCGCTCGATTTCCCCGGCTTGATCTGGCCCGTGCTTTTACCGCCCGGGGAATAAGCGGGGTTCCCTCCGGGATCCCATGCAACCAAACGAGGCCTAAATGTGTCCTAAAGTCCTAGAGTGAACCCTCCAGTTCATAAAAAAGGAGAGGTAAATCACACAGAGAACCATCAGCAATGGCGAAGATTTCTAGTAGCACCGTTGTTCTCCTGGTGTTTCTCGTGTCATCGTGGGGGGCATTGCCGGTGCTGTCCCGTGGACAGCTACAGGATGGAGGAGGCGGGTAAGATGATACTCCATCTACAAGCATTCTAGCCATGTCACCACAACATAAGTCCGCGATTAACTTATTCCCACATATATAACATGACGGGTCTTTATATAATGTTTAACTGTCACCCTTTCACACTCATGCATGCGTAGTTAATAGTTCTTGTATATGTTGTTCCTGATGTTTGTTGCTATTTTCATATTAGGGCAAACGGTGGTGCTAATGTTGGGCTTGAAAAGGGTATCGGTGCTAATATTGGGCTTCAAAAGTCTATCGGTGCTAATGTTGGTGTTGGTGCGAATGGAGGCGCTGGTGCGAATGGAGGCGCTGGTGTTGGCGCCGGCCTTGGAGCAAATGTAGGTGTTGGAGCAAATGTAGGTGCCAATGCTGGTCTTGGTGCCGGTGCAAATGCAAACGGTGGTGCCGGTGCTGGTGTGAATGGAGGCGCTAACGTTGGAGCTGGTCTTGGAGCAAATGTAGGTGGCAATGCTGGTCTTGGTGTCAGTGCAAATAGATTTATTGATGCTGGTGTTGGTGCAAATGGAGGCGCTGGC